CTGGACGCCCTGTCGCTCAGCAGCAGCCTAGACAGCGGGCTCCGAACCCCTCAGTGCAGGATCTGCTTCCAGGGCCCAGAGCAGGTCAGGCCTGGGAGCCCGACCGGGCTGGGAGAGGTGGGGGCGCGCACCTGGGGCGCCCGGGGAGACCGCGAGCAGGGGGCGGGGCCCGAGGAGGCTGGGCAGGACGCAGGACACCGAGTGGGAATGGAGCGAGGTTGGGGCCTGGCCGGAGACTCCCGGGGTGCTAGCAGAGGTCTCCAGGAAAGGGTGGGGCTTTCTCCTGGGAGGCCTCAAAAATCCTCTCACCTCCAAGTGGGGACAGCGCTTCTCCTCAGTCTCCTCACGCAGGGTCTCAGGGGGCTGTTCTCTCGGAGGTTGGCAGAGGGAGAGCAATCACTTCTGTTCCCACTTTGAAGGGAGGGGTCCAGCGGGCACCCTTGCCTCACTCACTCAATATATCTCCCTGTGGGGCACTTTTCTTTACTTCCCAGTCTACAACTTTCTATTTAATTTCAAAGAGTGTTCTTTGCTTAAATTTTGTGGGCAAAGTTGCCCCAGAAGAGTGCCAGGGAGTATTTCTATATAGTGAGAGAGCTTTCTTTTGTTAAAAGGGCCCATGCTCCACTGCCACCCCTAGGATTTCTCCCCTTTTTGATCCTTGGAAACTGAAGACTGTAACCCTCCCCAGACTGGAACAGATCTGTGAAATCATTTACAGTGATGAGGTAGGGAAGGAAAGCTGGCTCCAGAGCTCTGAGCCTCTCCTCCCTCCTTTGGAAAGATTTAGAGACTACCCTCCCCAAAGCCAAGAAAAAAGAAAACTCAGTACCTCCCTCATCTCTTTGGTCTGGGGAAATTTCCCTTGAGCTCTAACTTTTTCCTTTTCAGCTGTAGCTTTAGCCTCTTGCCCTATTTTGGGTGAAAAGGACTGAATTTTTTAAGATAGGAGAATGAATGACCCGAAGGAGATTTCTCTCTCTGGGAGCTGAGCTGAATGGAGTCAGGGTGGTTGGTCATGGCTAACAGGGGCCCTTCTCACTCTTCCTCCAGGGGGAGCTCCTGAGTCCCTGCCGATGTGATGGTTCAGTGCGCTGCACACATCAGCCCTGCCTCATCCGCTGGATTAGTGAGAGGGGCTCCTGGAGCTGTGAGCTATGCTACTTCAAATACCAGGTCTTGGCAATCAGCACTAAGAACCCTCTGCAGGTGAGGAGCAAGGAAAATACTCTGAGACTGGGGCAAAGGGTCCTACAACCAGTAGGGTCAGGGATCTTCTAGGAAGCTTATTTCTTCTCATTTACTCTTTTCCTGAAGCCACTCTCCTTGTCTTTCCTGCAAGTCTTCATTTGCTTATTCATGAAAGTGTTTATTGTACCAGCTGTGATCCAGACACTGTTGTAGGCACTGGGAGTACACAAAAGGAAAAGATGATAATACTATTGTTGATGATGATGATAACAAACATGTAGTGTTTTCTGTGTACCAAGCTCTTAGAGTGAGTTAACTCTTAATCCTCATAATTCTATGAGGTAGGTACCATTACTATCCCCATTTTACAGATGAGAACATTGAAGCAAAAAGAGACTAAATAATTTGCTCAAGGTTAGGCAGTAAGTATTGGAGTTAGGATCTGAGGTTTAAACCTAGATTTTCTGGCTTCAGAGTACTTCCCTTTCTAGAATAAAAAGGATACATGGTTTCAAACACTGTGAGAAGTACCACATTCTAGATTTCATCAGGACAGAGAAAAGAGACATGCTGGAAGGGTTTGAGGGAGGATCCTGGAGCATCCTTGTCTTCAGGTCCACCCATTGGCTGGCTTTCCATCCCCTTCTGTGACTTTCTGGAACCCTTTCTCCTGCACAGTGGCAGGCCATCTCTCTGACGGTCATTGAGAAGGTCCAGATTGCTGCCATAGTTCTGGGCTCCCTCTTCCTCGTCGCCAGCATCTCCTGGCTCATCTGGTCCTCACTCAGCCCGTCAGCCAAGTGGCAGCGGCAGGATCTGCTCTTTCAGATCTGCTATGGCATGTACGGCTTCATGGATGTTGTCTGCATAGGTGAGGGCACCTCTCTTCCCCTTGCCTGCTCAGCATCTTCCTCAAACTCATGCTTCCTGACTCATCCCCTCAGCTTCATGGCCATGCTTTTCACCCTGGGGGGTCTTTGAGGCTATCATGGTACCCTCCTTTTCTTGTTTCTCCAGTGCCCTTTGCAACCCTGTGTTCTCACTTTGGAGAAATGCTTGCTTAAGCAGCTCTGGCCTAGGTCTAGGCAGCAGTTGACCCTCAATTTCTTATCCCTCTTGCTCAGGCCTCATCGTCCATGAAGGCTCCTCAGTCTACCGCATCTTCAAGCGCTGGCAGGCTGTGAACCAGCAGTGGAAGGTCCTGAATTATGACAAGACTAAGGACATAGGAGGAGATGCAGGGGGAGGGACGACAGGGAAACCAGGCCCCAGGACCTCACGGACTGGCCCTCCCTCTGGGGCTACCAGCCGCCCCCCAGCTGCCCAGCGCATGCGGACGCTCTTGCCTCAGCGCTGTGGTTACACAATCCTACACCTCCTTGGACAGCTGCGGCCACCAGATGCTCGTTCCAGTTCCCATTCTGGCCGTGAGGTTGTCATGAGGGTCACCACAGTCTGAAGTGGACGCCAGGAGCAGGGATCTTGAGTCAAAGCACTGGCCAGAGATGAGCTCTCATGGCTGCTGACCATACTCCTTCCTGGAGGTGCCACCTGGACAAGGTATCTGGGGCACTCTTACTGCTCCCACCACTGAGGATCTCTGCGGGCAGCCTCAAGCTGGAGACATTGTCTGGCTTCTATTGCCCACTGTGTAGAAACATCTGGAAGACATCAGCCCTCACTGATGGCTCCTCACACTCATCCTGGGGCAGCCAATGGGCCAGTGGGGAAAGCAGCTTTTCTTCCCTGGAGAGAACCATCCTTACCTCAGCTCCTAGGGCCTCCAGGCCCCCAGCTCTACCGTGGTGACTTGGTGAAGGGGGACCAATGCCAGAAGAAAGGGGCTGTAGACCCCCCACTCCCTACCCCATGGCCACAGGGCATCTGGCAATAAGACTATTACACATTGACCTCCCGTTCCCTGCATGAGGGCGGGGGGCACTTCCCCCTGCTTCTCCCCTCATTGCATGGGGGGAGGGCATAAAGAATCATTTATATGCACGTGGAGACTCCTTTCTCATCTGGGGCTTTTCTGGAGGGCTGGGAGGTGGGGGCAGGTTTCTCTGCACAGGTTGCAAATCCCAAATGTAGCAATGAGTTCTGAGTTGGAGGTGTAACTCCCACTTGCTGGTGAATAATTCACATTGGCTGCTAGGTGGCAGTGCTTAGAGGTACCTAAGGGGCGGGCCTGCCACCTGCAAGTTGTGTGAGTTGGAAAAAAAATCTCTCAGCTGTGATTTTCCTGTCTACCTCATGGAGTTGGAATGAGGGTAAATAAGGGCCAGGTTGAATGTCATTGCAAAGAAAATCGGTAATGATATAAAACAATTTCTAGGCTAGTTGATGGTCCGTTTATTCAAGTAGCAGTTGGTATAACATTTCAAAATGTTTTCATTAGGAGTTAGAATCTTGGAACTTTGGAGTGATGTAATAGATATAGGAATATGGGGGAAAATGGACATCTGAAAGAGGAAGGATGGTGGTTATTTGCATGAATGAGAATCCTTCTGACCCCTAAACATTGGGGCCTGGGGGATGAAGGAAGTGTGGAGCATTCTGCTTGTTTTGGAATTGTCTGGGTTCTATTAGTCCTTAAGTACTGCCTACCCAAAGAAGTGTCAAGAAGTGAATTTAGACTCAGTTGGACTGAGACAGAGGAATTCCCAATGTTAGGAGCCTTGAATCCCAGTTTAAGCTGTTGCCATGGAACCTCAGGGTCACAGGCCTGATCCTGATGCACCCTAGCTATTGGTATTAACTGAAAGTTTTGTGCTTGGAGGCTGCAGCATTGAGGGCTGGTGCTTATAGAGAAAAAGTTTTGGAAGGACTAGTTAAAAGGTGGGTCGGCCTGAACCTAGTCCTTTTCTCCTGAGGCCTTGGAGATATGTATTATATGCATTAGTATGTCTTTTAAGTGAATTATTCATCAGCAACTAAAATAATTACTTCAGACATTGCTAAAGTCAGATCCGGAGGCCTTTTCTATTATTGGGCTTTCTCTCAAGGAAGGTTCCATTCTGCCTTCTCCCTGTAGATATTCTGGAGAAAAGGCTTCTCTCTGGTTGTTATCTGACATGGAGTTGGCCTCCGACACACAGCAAACACACACAACAGAACGAAACACTGCTGGTCCCGCACCATTCCCCGGATCAGTTGCAGACTGGACTGTTGTGATCCATAGGGTTCTCACTGGCTGATTTTCAGAAGCAGATTGCCAGGCTTTTCTTCTCAGTCTGTCTGAGTTTGGAAGCTCTGCTGGGACTTGTTCAGTAACATAGCAACACAAAATCCGTTGACAGACAGATGGTGGCTGTGCATGAGGTACATTAATTGGGAACTGAACCTGGATCTTCTGCATGGAAGGTGAGAATCCTACCAGTGACTCACCGATAGCCCATGTTTCTCTATTAAGGACCCGTGTATCTCCCAGGAAATCATGATCCCTTCCCTTCTCCAAAAGGGGCCTTGGCCGCTGTCCATGGTGCTGGACCCAGACTTGCCTGGGGGGGTGTAGAAACCAAAGCTGGACCAGGCCTGAGTCACTTGGAAATATGAAAGTGTATCTACTTCCAACCTATGAGGGGATCACAATAGAGCGAGGACTGAGACCGGGCCTTCCATCTTACCAATGAGAAATTGTTTCCCTAAGGAGATAACCCTCCATATTTTCCACCAAGGGAGACACAAAGGCCAGACTGATTCGCCACTCACAAGACCTTCAGGGGGATCACAAGGGAGAGAACAAATCACAGTGACTACTAATACCTACACTAGCAAATAAGGGCTCAGATACATACATATGGGGATTCCTACACCAAACCTGGGCTGTCCCCTAGTGATGGCCCCACATGGAAGCTTAGATGTATCTGAGAACAGACACACACACATGCACACACACACACACAGCCTCCATTTCTACCCTGGGTTCTAAAACCAGGCCAAGTTAAGACAGTATATCCTCCATACCCAGCACCAGTGGAGGTCTTGTATGGGAGTTAGGGCCAGCAATCAGTGTGGTCTCCTCTCCTTTTTCCAAGAGATCCTTAAGGAGCTCTGGTGGCATAGTGCCTAAGGGATTTGACTGCTAACCAGAAGGTTGGAGGTTCAAACCCACCAGCCATTTTGCTGAAGGAAGACTGGGCAAACCCAAAGGGGGTTGCTATGAGTCAGAATCGACTCAATGGCAGTGAATTTCATTTTTTGGTTTTGGTAAAGAGATCCTTATCCAGGACAGAGCCCCGGTGGTGCAGTGTAGTTAAGTGTTCAGTTGCTAACTGAAAAGTTGGCAGTTTGAACCCACTATGCTGCTGTGTGGGAGAAAGGTGTGGCAGTATGTTTCTGTAAAGACTTATAGCCTTGGAAACCCTGTGGGCAGTTCTATTCTGTCTTATAGGGTTGCTATGAGTCAGAATCAACTCAATGGCACAAGTTGTTTTTTTGTTTGTTTGTTTACATACAGGAAAGGACTCATGGGAACTGTGGCTCTCGAATGGGCAATCTTACTTGCTCAAAGGGGAGTGTAGGTAGGCAGTATCTTCATTACTGCTTTCAGGGAGAAGGGTTTGAGAGGAGGCTAGGCTTTTAATCTCTTCACATCTCAAATCTGCTGAAAATTGTTGTTGTTGTTGTTATGTGCCGTCGAGTCGGCCCCGACTCATAGCGACCCCTCCTTGGGTTTCCGAGGCAGTATCACTACGGAAGTAGGATTGCCCAACCTTCCTTCCGAGGAGTGGCTGGTGGGTTTGAACCGCCAGCCTTCTGGTTAGTAGTCAAGTGCTTTAGCCACTATGCTACCAGAGGTCACTTAAGTTCAAGTTGAGCATAGTGAGTAGGGGTGTTGGGTGGAGACTTGAGCATACAGTACAGTAGGAGTTGAGAAGAGGGGCAGTAAATGGGCACAGGCCTTGGTCTCTATTCTGTAGCTCTTAAATAAATAGATACTCCCAGAAAGCCTGGCTGGCTACTGGAGTTTCTATGATCAGAGAGCCATGGCTAGGGCAAGGGCTGAGGTGGTGGGGAAGAGGAGGAAGTGTGAAATGAAATCACCATCTACACCCAGTTAATTGGAATGGTTGGGGGGGGGGTAAGCAGGAGGAAGGGGACAAGTCCTGACATGGGGAGGGTAATCTGGAATACAGAGGGAGCTTTGGGAAGAGTGTTGAGAGATTTATTTGTGTGGAAGATGAGTTAATCCATATATATCACAAGGGGAGAACTGTGCTCAAACTCTGGGGGGCCAGAGAGAATGCTGACTCAGGGAAACAGAGACTCCTCTGCCCACCCCTCTTCTCCTGCCTTGGTGCCGCGGGGCTTCTGGCCACCCCCACACTCACCTTTCATCCTAGCTTTCTGATTCCACTTCTCTGCTTCTATCCCAGTCTTTCTCTGAAGGAAATTATCTTGGAGCAATTTTTCCAGAGAGGGCAGAGTGACCATTCTAGGACATCCTTTGGTCCTGGCAGTCCAGGTTTCAAAAGTACTTCCTCTACCAGAGAACCAGACTCCTCTGCCCATCTCAGCAAATTCCCAGCTCCGCCCATTTTGACAGCCCAGTCTCTGGTTACTTTTCACCACCACCCCTGAATCTCTTACTGGAAGCCAAACTTGCCTGTTCTCTCAACAGACAGAAACATATCAGGTGTGTGATGCAAGTCACTCTCTCAGGCATCCAGACCTCTCATGGTTATGGAGGTCACGCTCAGGACCTGAGAGATCAGGGTGGAGGAGGAGGGGTCAGGGTCTTGCCTTCAGGTCTTTTAGGAAGTGGGAGTGGGAGAGCAGTAAGTCAAAAGTCAAGGGTGGAACGTTTGATTTTTTAATTTTAAAACTAAATATTTTTCAATTTCAGTATAAAAAGGAAGAGACCTGGGCAGCAACAGGCCCAACAGTGTCTCTGCTTGGGGACTAAGTGTCAGGACAAACCTACCTAAGAGTAACCAGAGAGCCAAGGAAAATTTAAAAAGTTGTAAGTGAGGCTAGGGCAGACCCAACTTCCTAGGGGTAAGATGAGGAAGGATGGGAGTAGATCGAGTCCAGTAAGTGGCTTCTCCCTCTGCCACATGGTCCAGAGTCAATCTGACAATGTGTATGGTATCACCTAGTGAGAGATAGGCCCTGGGAGGGGATATAAAGACCAAATAAGGGTTTGTCCTTCCCATCAAAGAGCTCAAGTGCACATTGGGAGGACAACCAGGTGCAGACCAGATGCACAATTACTTAGCTCATGCTGTGGTAACTGCTTAGCCAGCAGCATCCATGAACATCATGGAGGCCCCAAAAGGGCAGTGATTGAATCCTTCCTCAGGCCAACCAGCATTATTAGTTAAGATCTGAGTTGGTCCAGGAAGGATGCATGGTTGAGCAGGTGGATGCAACATCATTTTCTTAGGGCCCTCTGGGTGAGGCCAAGTACTTATTTCCAACCATGGTCAGGGCTGCTTCAAGCACTTTGCTAAGGTCATTCTAACCAGTTTTGTCAGAAAGGCCTTAGGGGGAAGATACATCTCTTGGTCGTGTGCCTAATAAGCCCCTGTGATCAGGGAAGGGGTGATGATAGCCTGCTTTCACAGGACTATCTGTCCACAAACTGTAGGTTGATGCTCCTCTCAGGCACCAGGACAGTCCGGGTCATCGGTTGGACTGGGGCAGCACCTGGCTCAGGCTGCACCTCAAAGTGGGTCAAGATCTGGGAAGGGGGTAAAAAGGCTATCATTTATGGGAAGGGTCTGTAATGGTGGACTCAATTAATCAAGGACATTAATTAGTGTTAGGACAATCACTGTTGGGGTGGCACCTGCAGGGGACTTTTGGTTAATAAGGGTAAGGAATTATGGTAAAGAGAAAGATAGTCCAAATCTCCTTGCTCAACCTCCAGGCCTATAGTGGGGTTGCCATATTTCAGAGGATTCGGTCTACCAAGTTTTATGTTTTTCTATGCTTGTTTGAAGAGAAGAGCTCACAGTTTTAGAAGGTTCAGGTTTCTACCATCTGGGAAGGGTGTAAGATCTAGATTACTCACCTGGGCTAAAGCCATTTGCAGTTCAAGCTCTGCCAGGCGTCTCCCCATGCAGCTGCGCTTGCCAAAGCCAAAGGGGAGAGATGCAAATGGGTGGGGGGCTGGATTGTCCCCCAGCCAGCGAGCAGGACGAAAAGAATTTGGCTCTGGGAACTGGGCAGGGTCACGAGAAGTGGCATAATGACACAGAGAGACCAGCGTCTGGTTGGGGAAGAATATAAACTTGTCAGTTTGGGCCTAGGAATGTGGAGAGGGACATGCTGGGGGGTGGGGAGAGGACAAATGGACTAGGACAAAGGCAGACCCTGGTCAATGATGTGGAAATTTTCTGGTGCTGCTCTTGGAATGATTTCTCCACTACCCCCTTATGCCCTACAGAAAGGCATTCAGGCCAAAGGGAGTGTTTGAAAGGCTTATGGGGAGTTTGAGAAAGGGCTAAGGCCCAAGCTAGTGAGGAATAGGTTCAGCAAAAGGGGCTCACACAGCCTCTACTCACATTTTTTGGGATGATATAGTCACCCACACGAATGTCTCTGTCTGGGACACGGGAATTTCCAGGTACTACAGGGTATAACCTGGGTTGCAGAGCACAGGAGAGAGACAGCAAGGTGAGGCCAGCGGTTCCCTCTCATCTCCAACTTTAAAATCCATTTTTGGCCAGGAATGCCATTTGTCTCTGCTCGCTCTCCCCATTCCACCCACTATCTGCTTCCCCAGCATTTCCCTAGCTGCTCCTCTGCTTGGCCCTCACCTCAATACCTCCTTGACCACAGCTTTCAGCAGGCGCAGCTGGGACAGAGCAGCAGCTGGGGGGTGAGCACAGGAGCTGGGGCCCAGAGCAGCTGTGATCTCTGAATGGAGTGCTGTCTGGACTTCAGGGTGTCGAGAGAGCTCATACAGAGCCCAGGAGAGCGTGTTGGACACCTGAGGGGACAGGTAAGGGGTTAGAGGTGTTGGGTGTGGGGATCCAGTGGAGGAGGTAGAATATGGAGCAGTCTAGGGCAAAGGAAGTGCTAAGCCAAGTTTGTCTAGAGGGCCAGTGAGTCTCCTGCAACAGAAAGGTGGCTTCTGTGGCTGGGGAGGCTAAACTCTGGAAATGGGGTCACAACCTGGAGGCGGACCCTCACCGTGTCCACTCCGGCCAGTAGCAGCTCTGTCACATTCCCCACGATGGATGGGGCAGGCATTTTTTCTCGGAACAGGAAGTAGGTGAGATGAGCCCTAGGTTCCGTGCCTCCCTCAGGCTTTCCCTGGTTCCTCATGCCCATCTCAGCCTCTCGTTGCTCCACGTGCTGCTGGGCTGCGTGAAGAGAAGGCACCGTGATGCCTCGCCACTCCTGGACAGCCCTCTGGCTCCCAGCTCCACCCTGTTTCTGTGCCTTACCAAATGCAAACATCTGGTCCCAGTCTCGGCAGAGGCGGCCCCAGGGTCCGGGCACTAGGCGGTGCAGCCAGTTCGGCATTGCCATGGTTAGCAGCGTGGATACAAACACAGAGCCCACCGCGCGAATGAAGGTCTCCGTGTCCGGCGGCACTTCGGTTTCCAGACAGCCGAGGCGCGAACCCAGCAGCACTGCGGCTATGCCTGGCCAGGAGGGGGCGCTGTCAGGACGCAAGGAGCCCCGGGTCCCGTGTCTCCTATGCCTGCCCCTATAACTGTCCCTGGTACTCACCCTCTAGTCCAAATCTGTAAAACTCTCCCGCCACGTCCCGAACCAGGGCAGGCGGCCCGGCGCCTCGTCCCCGTTGGCGCCGCAGTCGCCTCACAAGGTCATGGACCACGTCGCCCAAGGTTTCGGCATAGCTGGCGGCCGCTTGAGGCCGAAGAAGGAGCGGGGCCAGCAGGGTGCGGAGCCTCTGCCATTCTTCGCCTTCCCTGTGGGGGTACGAAGACGGAGCCTCAGAGCGAGTTGGCTGTGGGGAGGCGGCTGGACCCGGCCGGCTGCGGTGGTGGCGGTGGTGAAAGGCGGCCAGGAGAGGGAAGCGGTTCTGCCGGTTCCCTAAGGGTACAGAAACCTGCTCTGCCTGGTCCACTCTCCCATCTCCCCTCCTCGTTACTCATTTTCCATCCCGGAGGGATCTGGTTTCTTGGATAACTTGAGTTACAGAATCTTACGTTCCATCTAGCTCCTGGTACCCCAACTCCTTCCACTGGTCCCCCCAGTCCCTAGAATTCTGACTTCACAGGTAAAAAGGGCGAGGGAGAGGGAGCGAGGGTGGGGCTCTACCCGAATCTGGGTGACACAGAGTAGGGTGAGAACCCCGAGATGCCAAGAGGTTGGGGAAAACGGTCGACTTCCCTCCACGCTCCCAGAAAGATTGTCTCGGGACCGGCCACAGAAGAGGGCAGCTGCGGAGCGTCGGGACTTGAGTCGCAGCAAAGACTCACGCGGTGAGCAGTCCGCAAGCCAGCTGCCGATGGCGCCTGTGCTCGGTCCAGGGAGAGAAGCTGCAGCGCTCTGGCCGGGGCCCCTCCTGTCGCAGAAGCTGCTCGACCAGCTCAGGAGCGGCCAAATACACCGTGCGCACCGTACCGAAGTTGGCCAACCACACGGGCCCGAAGCGCGCAGCGCCCTGCACCTGGGAGAACGGATGGAGTGGCACTGGAGATCTGAACAGAGGATTCCCAGCTTGACTCTTGCCAATGCCAAAGGGACTGGCTGGGCGTTGGCAGGGGGAGCTTCTGCCCCTTCTCGAACACCCAGCTAGAGCTGGCCTCTGATGCTCCTAACTTCTCCTTCTCTTTCCCCGACTTTGCATCCCTAGAAAGTTTGTGTGATGAGAAAAGAGGCGGAACTTTGCGCAAAGCATTTAGCAACTCTCTTTGCTCACCTGGCCAGTCGAGGTAGATAAATCCTTAAGAGTTTCCCACCTGCACTGTCCATCTCAGGCTGCGCTCCCACTGAGCGAATAGTAAAGCCTGTAGCTTTAAGCAGAACGTGCCCAGTGCGCGGAGGGGACGACTCGTTTCCAGCTCCCTCGCGCTGGTCCTGGGCTTGCAGGGCCTCTAGCCGCACAGTGAGAAGGCCCTTTTTGAGCGCACTCCTCTGATGGGTGTAAGAACCGAGTTCGCATACTTCCAGCCATAGCCCCCAGTCTCAATTTGCCTATTCCGTCATTCAAGTGCCCTCCCTCTTACGGTTCCGCACTAGACTGTCCTTTCTGGGGTTGTAAAGTTACCCAAGTTCCTAGTCTCAGGAATAGAGCCTTCCCCCCGCGCCCCGCCCCCGACGCCCCTACCTGTAGCTCGTGTAGTCGCGACAGTCCCCTCTTGCAGAAGAGTTCAGCCAGAAAGCTGGGAGTGGAGGGGCCTGGGATGTCCGCCAAGCTCCGGAGCGCTGAGTTGGCGCCTCCGGAGCCCAGTGAGGCGCTCAGCTCGGGAGCCCCCAGGACACGATTGAACACTCTAGAGGCGAACTTGACGGTCTGAGTCATGTTCTGGAAACTGGTCAAAGATACGGCTTTTCTGGAGCATTTTGCCAGCTTCACGGAACTTCTATTTAACCCTGGGGCAAGGCGGCGGCTACGCCCCCTCTCCAAACTCTTCAGCCAATCCCTTCTCCGTAGTGGTCCAAGCTCGTGATTAGCACCAAGCAGGCGCCTTCTCGGGAAGGGTAGGCGGGGGTTGGGGCTGGGGCTGTGTCTGCCTTTGCAACTCCCTTGGAGCTCATGTTGCACCTTCGTAGGAGGGTGGCCTGCCTCAGTTTCCCTCTTGGTCTAGTGGCTTAGTTCAGCAGCCTTGGAGGGAAAGGCTAGTTGAAATCGACTAAAGGACAACTGGTTTGGTTCTGGGTGACTGTTATGACTCATGTCCCCCCAAAATGTTGTAATTACTAATCTCTATGCCTGTGGTTATAATCCCTTTTGGGAATTAGTTGTCTCTGTTATGTTAATGTCAGAATTAGTGTGGGGTGTATCTTGAGTCAATTCAAGATATAGAGATTAAACAAGCCAGAGAAGCAGAGACCAGAAGGACATGCCAAGCCACATGAAGAATGCCCAGGAAAGCATAGAGGAAGAGGAAGACATAGAGAGGTGCATGGGAGGTAGACAACAAAGATGAACCCTTTTGCACATATGGTGTTGTATTGTCAGTGAAGGCAAACATTGATGTACAGGTGGATAGATGGGTGGACAGGCTGAACTATTAGGTATGTCTGTGCAGGGGGGAATATGCCCATGCCCATGTTTGGGTTGGCAGACAATATTTCTACAAGTGTATTTGTAAAGGGACAAAGTTGTAGTCATTTCTTCGCCACAGCCAGCTACCTGGAAGGAGCAAGTAGTTGGACCTGTGGGCTCGGGACCATGGTCTCAGGGGCCATCAAGTTCAATTGGCATAATACACTACACAAAAACATTTTTTCACATCCTACTTTGGCAAGTAGTGACTGGGATTTAAAAGATTGCAAGTGGATATCTAGATGCATCGATGGGTCATTCCTCGCCCAGAGCAAAGAAGAATGAAGAAAACCGGAGACGCATGAAAACAATTAGTCCAAGAGACTGGTACAACATGGGATCCTCAGCCTATACTATATATACTAATATAAGACCAGAAGAACTAGATGGTGCCCGACTACCACTGTCAACCACTTGGAGAGGGGATCTATGTGGGAGACCCTGGATAGAGAGGGAGAACAATGTGGAACAAAACTCAAAATTTAAAAAAAAAAAAAAAAAAAAGGGACCAGGTTTGCTGCTCTGATAGGATCTTATGGAACCCCTGAGACTATGGCCCCTAGCTGCCTTTCAGGCTTGGACTTGAACTCACTCCTCTGGCTCCCAGCCAAACAAAAGACAGGCATATAAGCTGAATACTTTAGGTAGATACACTCCTTGGAGAGATCATGGCAGAATAGAAGAGATGTGTATGCACACGGAGACAGTTCGGAGGGCAGGAGTGCATGAGAGGGAAGGACGCAGGGAAGAGGTAACTATGGGGAGGAAGTGGGAGGGGAGCTGTTGCATTGTGGGAAATTGCGGTCAATGTCATGAAGTCAAGTATATGAGTTACTGTATGGAAAATGAATTTGCTCCATAAACTTTCACCCAAATCACAATTAAAAAAAAAAAAAAAAGAAAGAAAGAAAGAAGAAACAGTGCCTGGGAGAAGCTAAGAATCAAGGACCTTTCTCCAAAGCCAAAAGACAGAAAGCCTTCCCCTAGAGCTAGCACCCTAAATTTGCACTTCTAGCCTCCTAAGCTGTGAGAAAATAAATTAGTTTGTTAAAGCCATCCTTGTGGTATTTGTTACAGCAGCACTAGAAAACTAAGACAGTGACCAAGCTACAAGACAGCCCCTGGTATTTCCACTTCCCCAGAAAGCCAGATCATTCAGGCCTATCCTCATTCAGGAAATCTCCATCCTCCAGCTCTTCTGGGAAGAGAAGCAGGGGAGAGGTACAGCTGTAAATGTCCCCCAGATTCTTGGCTCATCTCAGATGCATCTTTTGTGCAATGAAGCAAAGTTTCCCCTCACCAGCTATTCTCCCCTCTCCTCTACAGATTGGGTACATGGCTCAGTATATTAATGGGTTAAACTGGCTCCAGGAATGTTCATCTTTGTTCCCTGAAAGAGATGTGTGTCTTTGGTCAAAATGTTACTTCTTTCCAGCCATAGGAATTTTGGGCTTGAGAAGCTTTTTGCAAAATATTCTCTCTGGGCCCCAGGACTGAGCAAAGGGTGAATGCTCAGAAACCCCACTGACTTAATCCTCTCTGAGTGGGAGGCAGTAGAAGGCAGCCCCCTTCCACTTGTAGCTTCAGAATCATCCTTAGTCTCTCCTGCTCTTTGATCTCCCACTCTCACCCACCCTAGCCCTATCAGGTTCTGTGCCAGTCTGAAATTGAAGGTAAACATGAGAGAGCCTCCACCCCCATAGTGTCCAGGGACTTTCCAGAGATAGCAGTGAGAACAGATTCCCCAAGTCCTGTCTCAGGCTGGTAAAGAATGGGAGCAGGTATGTGATACACACGCCAGGCTTTCCTGAGAAACAACAGCAGCATGGGTACGTGCACATGTATAAACATTATCCCAGGACTGCAGAGCAAACACAAGCAGACAGGTTGATTTAAGCCCAGCAGGCAGCTTAGATGTACATGGAGCACTGAGTTCCTCATTCCAGCTGAGAAGAGAACTCAGGAGAACGGAGTGCTAATGGAGGACAAGAATCCACTCCCTTTCAAGATCTTCTCTGGTCCAAGACTGTTTGACCTTCCCAGTCTGCTTCTTTTGCCTTCTGTTCGCAATGGAGGGGCGAGTAGGGGAGATCTGGGTCGTTGTGAACAGCAGGGTTCTGCCCTGGCCAATTCTCCAATTTCTTTGAGAGACTGCTGCCTCTCAACCCTGGTAGTCTCAGCTGAGAAGGTCCAAGGGGCCTGATCCTTTTGGCCCCTAGAAGATGGGGTCCAGTTAAGAGAGGGTGAGCAGTCAGTGACCAGGCAGAGTAGGATTGGGGGTCACTGCCTGGAGGATGGGATCCTCTATTCTTCGGAAGATGGCTGGGAAATTCTTCCCTCCATTGCGTAGAACCTTCTTTCCCTCTTCAGTTGAGGTGCCCAGATGTTCCACAATAGGGTCTTCACTCTGGGTGAAGAAAGGTTCCAGGTTAAGTCCCTGCCCACCTTTCAGACTGTCCCTGGCTTCTAGACTTCCATTTTACCCTCCTGGCACTGAGCTGGGGTCAAAGGATAAAGCAACAACCTCAAAAAGTCTGTATCTTTGCAAATTCCCTTAGGCCCTCTGCTTACCAGCTCCTCCAAAGGCACACGCTCAAACAGAGGGTGCCCTTCAAAATGGGTGCACATCCAGTTGTGTAGCTCCAGCACATCAGTTATGGTATATACGAGCCCCTGCATAAGCAAAATCAAGTCTAGACAGGCTGCTACATACAGCTGAGCAGTGGGATGATGGGAGTGGTGGTGTAAGCTCCTAAAGCCACACTCATTTAATTCCCAAGGAGGGCTCCTGAACAGACCACTCACCCTACCCTTCCTCCTACTCCCAACTCACCCCAATTCTCAGCACATAGGCATATTCTGCCAGTAGTGTGGGACTGATGATTCGCCACTTGTGCTTTGTTCGCTTGAAATGTGGGTCCGGGAAGAGGAAGAACATCTTTGTCAGCTGTGAGACAGATGTGCACAGACAGGATGGTGAGGCCCTAGCCTCCACACCCATGTCTGTTTACCAGCTTACCCCACCAGGGCCTCTCCCCACCTGGCCCTTTTGGAAGAAGTTAGGAAGATGCTTCATGGCATTACTACGGAGACAGGCGATGTTCTGGAAACCACCTCCAGGAGCTGCACGGAGGGCCCGAATCCGGTCTTGTACATAGTCTGAAACCTTCACTCGAATCTCCAGGCCCAGAATCAGTGTGTCTGGGAACAGTGGTGATAGTTCCACTAGACAAAGAAATTGGAATGGAATCACCAACCCAGATCTATAGGAAGTACAAAGGGGTCAACACAAGAAAGGAGCCCTCAACCTGCAACACCCCAAGCCAGGAAGGACAAGTGGGAGTGGGGAGTTATGTACAGTAAAACCTGTGAAAGCTAGAACCTGTATAGGGTGGAAACCTGTAAGTGAAGGAAAACACAAGTATTTTCTACTAAACAGAGAGTGAGAGATGAGTGGTAACTGTACCCTGTGATAGGCGGAAAAACTTGCGAGACCTGGAAAAATAAGGCAGTCCCATCGAATTCCAGCTCTCATGGGTTTCACCAAATATAAAGGGCTCTATGCTAGGAGAGGACTGGGAGAGATAAAAAAATTGTCACCAGAACTAGAAATGGGAGGGACTAGTAATACATGTACATTTGCATGTACTTTAAAGTTTTCACACATTGTTTCATTGAAGTCTTATAACATTGTGATAAATTGCAAAGATGAGGAAACTGTGAGTGACAAATGCCCAAGGTCATAGAACTAAGAAGGGTTACAGTTGGAACTTGAATCATGCTCTTTGTCTCTGTCACACAGTTTTATGTATGGGAAGATCTAAAAATAGGGAAGTGGTCCTGCATGCATAGCTAGGACAATAGAAACAACATAAGACAATACAAGAAGACCTGAAAACATAAGAGTGGAATGGTAGAAATGAGTTCTGGTAAGGAGAGAGGTTAGAAGGAGAGATGTGGTAGAATCCCTGAGAAAGACAGTTCAGGATCACTGGCCACAGTGGCTAATCTCTGACGCTTGTGCTGACCGGCTCACTGACCCAGCACCTAGCAGGTGAAAAGGCTTATGCTGAAACTGGGACCAGGGGTGGGGATAGACAATCCAGGCTCTAACAGATATTTGAGGCAGCCCCCTCCCTTCTCTAGGGCAATGTCCACAGTAGAGGGAAGACAGTGGCTCTCTACACTGATGTCACGGTGCCAGTGTCTGGTCTGAAGGGGAAAGGCCAACTATGGGCCTCACCAAACCTGCTGAAGTGGCAGAACCTAGGCGGTTGCCTCTCCTTGCCCCAAAGAAAGGGCCAGAGAGTTACCTAACAGGCCACCATAGCCACAGCCTATGTCTGCAAACTCCACTTGGGCGTGAGGTCTCTTCTCTTTCTTATCTTGTGGGTCATCATGGCTCTGATTTTGGGCCAGTGGAGCGAAGAACTCTGGGTATAGCTCAGACCAGTCCATCTCCTCTGGCTTCACAGGGCTATTGGAGAGAAGACGTGAGAGATGTGAAAGTTGGTCATACAATGCAGAAGTGGTACTGTGTGTGCGTGGGGGATTGAGGGTGGGAGGAGGGTTTCTCAAAAAATCTGCAACAGTGGGCCCTGTGGCCTGTAGTGGACAAACTGGAAACCACCCTTAACCTCCAGTGTGAATCATAGGCCCATCATGAAGTCCAAGACAGCTGACCTGACAATCCATTTCTAGGGGCTGTGACCCTGGCTGGGGCAGAAATTTGTTTCCCTTTTCCCAGAGACTGGCTGTATAAGTCCCCGGGACCCTACTTTTAATTAAGTGGGTCTGGGATGGGCAGGATTGAGTGTGTTTGTCTTTTTATTAACAACAACAACAAATGAAATCGAGACGGAAACAACAGTGCCTTTTTCACTCTGATCTCAAGTAACAGTTTCTTTGTCTTCCAAGACTTGCCCGCTACACAGACTTTGTCCAGAACGCCACGCCCACTCCCATCGGTTCAACTCCTCCCTCAGTCACACCTCCCAGAACCACCACAACACAGACGTCACCCAGCTGATTCTTCTGTGTCTATCCCAAATCCTTTCCACCGCCCAAGCAAGATATCTGGTCTCTCTCGCCCTTTTACGTTGGACCGAGCGGCTCCGGGCTATTTTGAGAATTCCGCCTTTTTTTCTCTCCCCATTCCCCTACTTCCTGTTCCGCTCACTCACTAGCGCAGAGTATGGTCCGCCATGGGGTTTGAGTGAGCACGTTGCCGGTAGTAGCGCTTCTGAGGCTGCGGGGCCTCTGCTGCGGCCGCATCTCCAGTCTCGGCTCCCGCCATGATCGGCAACCCGAGATTTCTCCACCGAACCCACGTGGACACCTAGGCACGAGTCGCACGATAATGACGCAATCAGGCAAGTTTGAGCAGACCCCGCCCCTTAAAGACTCAAGCGCGAATTAGCCTACGCTAGACGGCAAATAACAACAGCAACAACAGGCGGGGATGGTCCGGGAAGGGCGAGTTGCTAAAGGGCGCCTCCGATTCATTACTCTCAATTGCGGTGGCATGGCCAGACCCAGGCACCCAACCTCTTTGTCCCTTAACCTACTTCTGCCTGGGTCTGGTTTACTATCCCGGTTGTACCGTCTTGGGATTCTGCCTCCTATCATGGAATTAATCCTCGCTCCTTTTCCCTCACCCCCACCTCTCGGAGCAGTCTGCCAGGTCTGACCCGCATGGTCCAGCTTGGGTCTCGTCGGGTGTGCGTAGGGGACTTGGGCAGAGCAGTAGCAGCTCCTCATTCTACCTGCAGGAAGTCAAACTGGAGGGAGAAGAGCATACTCGGAGAGGCGGGGCTCAGTGCCCGAGGACGCCCAGACTGCCCGCGGCCCCCACCCTTCGCCCCGCTGCAGATCCGGGATCTGAGAGCGGGACGTGGCACTCGGGCACGCTCGGCGGGATGGCGGACCGGGGTCCAGAGACGGAGTCAGAGCCGGAATCGGTGTTCCCACGGGAGGTCGGGCTCTTCGCGGACTCTTACTCGGAAAAGAGTCTGTTCTGCTTCTGTGGGCACGTACTGAGCATCACGCAGAACTTCGGGTCCCGCCTTGGGGTGGCAGCGCGAGTGTGGGACGCGGTGAGGAGTGGGCTGCTCCGTGTGAAGGTCCACGGGTGGTCCAGACTCGGGACTCCGACCCTCCAGCGGGAACCATCCCAGAGACAGCCCCCCCCCCCCTATTTTCTCTCTCTCTCTTTTTTTTCTCTCCCGTAGGCTCTGAGCCTGTGCAGATATTTCGAGAATCAAAATGTGGATTTCCGAGGCAAGAAGGTGATCGAACTGGGCGCTGGGACGGGAATCGTGGGGATCCTGGCTGCGCTGCAGGGTGCGTGAACTGGCGATGTGGCGGGAGGCGCGGTGTTGGGTGGAGCAGGAATGTAGAGAAATCATCACTTCATGGATCCTTGTGGGGAGAGGAGTGGTTTTGCCCCAACCCGTTCCCTTCCTTTAAACAAATAGTTTTGTGTGTTTGTGTGTGTGTGTGTGTGTGTGCGTTCCCATCTGTGTGCCAGGCATCGCTGATTAGCTATAAGAGCTCATAGGTGGTTGATTTGGTGGCAGGAAATAAAAAAATCATCGGTGGGCTTTAGTAGAAGAACTAGTGTCTGCCTTTTTTGCTCTCTGTAATTCTGTGGAGAATGCTGTTACTTAAAATGCCCTTGGCTTTGACATGATCTTTTGTCAAAACACATAGGTGAGAATACCTTGTAGGGAGAACCACCAGAGAGACCTGTACTTGTTACACCTCATGAGCCTTTTATAACTTCATTATGAATGTGTTTTAGATTCTTTATGTTTTGATTGCTTGGGAAAAGTAAGCTTTTGGGTTTCCAAGTGGTAGGGTGTGTTTTGGGGATGTGGGGGTAGGAATCAGACACTGCAGAGTTGGAGAAGGAAAAAACCAAACCAAACCCATTGCCAGCATATGTATTCCAGCTCATAACAATCCTATAGGACAGAGCAGAACTGCCCTATAGTATTTCCAAGGCTGTAATCTTTATGTAGGAGCTCTGGTAGCATAGTACCTAAGGCACTTGACTGCTAACCAGAAGGCTGGCGGTTCAAACTAGCCACTCCTCAGAAGGAAGACTGGGCAATCTACTTCCATAGTGATACTGCCTTGGAAACCCAAGGAGGGGTTGCTATGAGTCAGGTCCGACTCCACGGCACATAGCAACAACAACAACAATCTTTATGTAAGCAGCCTGCCACATTTTTTCTTCCCCAGAGCGGTTGGTAGGTTTGAACCACTGACCTTTTGGTTAGCAGCCAACCACTTAACCACTGTGTCTCTAGGGCTTCTTGGAGAAAAAAAAAGATAAGGAAATGTTCTTCTGTTTTGTTAAGAACAACTACCGTATTTTTCACATATAACACACCCACTAAATAATATGCATGCCCACGTAACACATATAGAGCTCATAAAAAACTAATGTGTGAGGGGGTTGGGTGGTTTGTAAAAATCATATACCATGGTTATTCGTATAAATATGTGATACAAAGGAAACAGTTCCTTACTTTATACTTTAAAGGGCAGACAAAATTCTACACCAAAAACAATCATTTAAACACACAGTCATCTTTCTAGGAAAGCAGATTAGCCTATCTTTGTTCATATGGAAGGAATTAGGTCACATTAAGGGAAATGGGGATTCATTCTATTTATTCAACCAACATGTATTCTGAGTCATTTGTGTGCAAAGAATTATGCGCTAGGTATTGGGGACACAACCATGAGTAAGATAGGTTGCCTTCTCCTAAGTTGTTTAGGGTCTAGTTGGGGAGACAGGGGAAGATGTTACAGTCCAAGAACTATGATGAGGTATGTGTGGGGAGTAGTGGATACTTTCTGGCCACGTCTAACTTTGACTCCTTGGAACTCCATCAAGGGGAAGCTCCCTCTGTCAGAAGAGAAGAAGGTGAACAGTGTGAACACAACAGGATCAGAGAGAATGGGAGTATCAAGAGCAGTTTTTTTTGTTTTTTTTTTTTAATGAAGAATGGGTGGATGAGAGGCAGGCAGTTATGTTAAAAAGGGAGAAAAAAGCATGTAATAGGGACAGGAGTATCTACCTTTACTTGCTCCTAGACTGCCTCCTCTTAGTCCCCTATTCAGCTACCCAGTCAGAAATCTGGGTGTCATTTGGTCTCTTGCCCTCTCCCTTCACATCCTGGCAATCAGCCAGTCCTATGAGTGGTATGTTCTTAATACCTCCTCACGATTGACCACTCCTCCTCCCACCATCTCTACTTAGTTCAAGCCACTTCTGTCTCTTGCCTGGATTTTCACAAGAGCCTTCAACCTTTCCCATGGGGAAGTTTGACATGCCCAAACTAGATCTTGTGATCTTCCCCGCGAAAACTTTTTCTCCCTTAGGTTTTGACATCTGGGTGAATCCAACCACCCACTACCAAGTGGGAAACCTAGCTTTGACCTTTGACACATCCTTTTCTCTCACCCCTTATTCACTGTTCAAGTCCTATTGATTTTATATTCTAAATATCTCTTGAATTTTCTGATGTTTTTCCATTTTCACTGACAGCTTCCAAGTCTAAGCCACCGCCATCAGTTGCTTGGACTGCTGTAATTAGCCAAACTGGTCTTCCTGCTTCTACTCCTTGCCCCTGTCTGGGACTCTGCCCACCCTTCCCAGTAGTCAGAGCGATCTTTGAAAAAGGCAACTGTAAACATGTATCTCCCCCACCTCCAAATTTTTGAATGGCTTTTTTGATGCTTTCAGGATAAAATTAATACCTTTAACATGGCCCTGCCCCCCTCTCCAGTCTCTTTCTGCCACTTCCTCTCCTATGCTTTCTGTGCTCTAGCCAAAAAAAACAAACAAAAAAATTCACTGCAGTCAAGTCGGACCTTGGGTTTCCAAGGACTAGGTTGCCCAACCTTCCTTCTGAGGAGAGACTGGCGGGTTTGAACCACCAGCTTTCTGATTAGCAGCTACACCACCAGAGCTCCCCTAGCCACATTGCACTCTGTTAATTCCTCAAGGCTACCTTGAAGTGTCCTTCCTTGTGGCCTTTACACAGGCAGTACTCTGAAACCCTTTCACCACTTGACTAATGCATATTATATAAAAGCTGCATGTTCTGCATATCTACATCTATGTTATTAGGTGCTATTGAGTCTATATGGACAACCCAGGTTGTCTATGTGACAGTAGAACTGCCCATAGGGTTTTTTAGGCTGTAATCTTTATGGGATAATATCCATATGCCTACAAGGAGTACCAGTTAACATGACTATTACTCAAATTTACCCAACCACTAATGCTAAAGATGAAGAAATTAAAGGTTTTTATAAACTTCTGTCTGAAATCTGTCAAACTTGGATTCAAGATGACCGGTGATTAGAATGAGAAAATTGGAAACAAAGAAAAGGGTTGGTAGTTGGGAAATATTTCTTTCCTGATAGAAACAATGCATGATTGAATTTTGCAAGACCAACAACTTATTCATTGCACATAACTTTTTCAGCAATGTGAACAGTGACCATACACATGGACCTTGCTGGATAGAATACACAGGAATTAAGTTGGATAGATCTGTGGAAAAAGATGAGGGAGAAGCTCAAAATCATCAGTCAGAACAAGGCCAGGGGCCAAATACAGAACAGACCATCAATTACTCATATGCAAGTTCAAGTTAAAGCTGAAGAAAACTAAGATAAGTCCACAAGAGTCAAAGTACAACCTTAAATATATCCCACCTGAATTTAGAGACCCTCAAGAACAAATTTGGTGTGTTGAACACTAATGGCTGATGACCAGACAAGTTGTGGGATGACATCAAGGACATCATACATGAAGAAAGCAAAAGATCACTGAAAAGAAAAGATGAAGTGGATGTCAGGAGGCTCTGCACCTTGCTCTTGAATGTAGAGTAGCTAAAGCAAACAGAAGAAATGATGACAAAAGAGCTGAACAGAAGATTTTAAAGAGTGGCTCGAGAAGACAAAGTATTATAATAAAATGTACAAAGAACTGGAGTTAGAAAAACAAAAGGGAAGAACATATGCTGGGCATTTCTCAAGCTGAAAGACCTGAAAAAAAATTCAAGCTTTCAGTTGCAATATTGAAAGATTCTATGGGCAAAATATTGAATGACAAAGGAAGCATCAAAAGAAGATTGAAGGAATACACAGAGTCACTGTACCAAAAAGATTTGGTTGATGTTCAGCCATTATAGGAGGTAGCACAGGATCAAGAACTGATATTATTGAAGGCAAAAGTCTAAGCTGCACTGAAGGCATTAGCAAAAAAAAAAAAAAAAGGGGGGGGGGCCTCTGGGAATTGATGGTATACCAATTGAGATGTTTCAACAAATGGATGCAGCACTGGAAGCACTCACTTGTCTATGCCAAGAAGTTTAGAAGATAGCTCCCTGGCCAACTGACTGGAAGAGATTCATATTTGTGCTTATTCCAAAGAAAGGTGATCCAACAGAATGCAGAAATTATTGAATAATAGCATTAATATCACATGCAAGTAAGGTTTTGCTGAAGATAATTCAAAATGGTTGCAGTAGTACATCAACAAGGAACTGCCAGAAATTCAAGCCAGATTCAGAAGAGGTGGTGGAATGACAGATATCATTGCTGTTGTCAGATGGATCTTGGTTGAAAGCAAAGAATACCAGAAAGGTGTTTACCTGTGTTTTATTGACTACGCCAAGGCATTTGACTGTGTGAATCATAACAAATTATGGATAACATTGAGAAGAATGGGAATTCTAGAATGCTTAATTTTACTCATGAGGAACCTGTACATAGACAAATAGACAGTCATTTGACCAAGAACAAGGGGATACAGCATGGTTTAAAATTAGGAAAGGTGTGCATCAGGGTTGTATCCTTTCACCATACTTATTCAATCTCAACCAAACCAAAACCAAACTCACTGCTGTTGAGTTGGATCCGACTCATAGCAACTCCTCCTTGGGTTTCCAAGGTGGTATCACTATGGAAGTACATCACCCACTCTTCCTTCTGAGGAGTCAATTTCTACACTGAGCAAATAATTCGAAAAGTTGGACTACGTGAAGAAGAAAATGGCATCAGGATTGGGGGAAGATTCATTAACAACCTTTCGTATGCAGATGACACAATTTTGCTTGCTGAAGTGAAGATGACTTGAAGCACTTACTGCTGAAGATTAAAGACTACAACCTTCAGTATGGTTTACACCTCAATTTAAAGAAAACAGAAACCCTCACAAATGGACCAGTAAGCAACAATATGATAAATGGAGAAAATATTAAAGTTGTCAAGGATTTAATTTTACTTGGATCCACAATCAACACCCATGGAAGCAG